ATGAATATAGTTCATTATGAATATAGTTCATTATGAATATAGTTTATTATGAATATAGTTCATTTGAATATAGTTATTATGAATACAGTCATTATGAATATTTTATTATGAATATAGTTCATTATGAATATAGTTTATTATGAATATAGTTCATTATGAATATAGTTCATTATGAATATAGTTCATTATGAATACAGTGTATTATGAATATAGTTTATTATGAATATAGTTCATTATGAATATAGTTCATTATGAATATAGTTTATTATGAATATAGTTTATTATGAATATAGTTCATTATGAATATAGTTTATTATGAATATAGTTCATTATGAATATAGTTCATTATGAATATAGTTTATTATGAATATAGTTCATTATGAATATAGTTCATTATGAATATAGTTCATTATGAATATAGTTCATATGAATATAGTTTATTATGATATAGTGTATTATGAATATAGTTCATTATGAATATAGTTTATTATGAATATAGTTTATTATGAATATAGTTCATTATGAATATAGTTCATTATGAATATAGTTCATTATGAATATAGTTTATTATGAATATAGTGTATTATGAATATAGTTCATTATGAATATAGTTTATTATGAATATAGTTTATTATGAATACAGTTCATTATGAATATAGTTTATTATGAATATAGTTCATTATGAATATAGTTTATTATGAATATAGTTCATTATGAATATAGTTCATTATGAATATAGTTCATTATGAATATAGTGTATATGAATATAGTTATTATGAATATAGTTCATTATGAATATAGTTCATTATGAATATAGTTTATTATGAATATAGTTCATTATGAATATAGTTCATTATGAATACAGTGTATTATGAATATAGTTTATTATGAATATAGTTCATTATGAATATAGTTTATTATGAATATAGTTTATTATGAATATAGTTCATTATGAATATAGTTTATTATGAATACAGTTCATTATGAATATAGTCATTATGAATATAGTTCATTATGAATACGTGTATTATGAATATAGTTTATTATGATATAGTTCATTATGAATATAGTTCATTATGAATATAGTTTATTATGAATATAGTTTATTATGAATATAGTTCATTATGAATATAGTTTATTATGAATATAGTTCATTATGAATATAGTTCATTATGAATATAGTTTATTATGAATATAGTTCATTATGAATATAGTTCATTATGAATATAGTTCATTATGAATATAGTTTATTATGAATATAGTTTATTATGAATATAGTTCATTATGAATATAGTTCATTATGAATATAGTTTATTATGAATATAGTTCATTATGAATATAGTTTATTATGAATACAGTTCATTATGAATATAGTTTATTATGAATATAGTTCATTATGAATATAGTTTATTATGAATATAGTTCATTATGAATATAGTTCATTATGAATATAGTTCATTATGAATACAGTGTATTATGAATATAGTTTATTATGAATATAGTTCATTATGAATATATTATTGAATATAGTTCATTATGAATATAGTTCATTATGAATATAGTTCATTATGAATACAGTGTATTATGAATATAGTTTATTATGAATATAGTTCATTATGAATATAGTTTATTATGAATATAGTTCATTATGAATATAGTTATTATGAATATAGTTTATTATGAATATAGTCATTATGAATATAGTTTATTATGAATATAGTTCATTATGAATATAGTTCATTATGAATATAGTTTATTATGAATATAGTTCATTATGAATATAGTTCATTATGAATATAGTTCATTATGAATATAGTTTATTATGAATATAGTTCATTATGAATATAGTTTATTATGAATATAGTTCATTATGAATATAGTTTATTATGAATATAGTTTATTGAATATAGTTCATTATGAATATAGTTTATATGAATATAGTTCATTATGAATATAGTCATTATGAATATAGTTTATTATGAATATAGTTATTATGAATATAGTTCATTATGAATATAGTTTATTATGAATATAGTTTATTATGAATATAGTTTATTATGAATATAGTTCATTATGAATATAGTTCATTATGAATATAGTTCATTATGAATATAGTTTATTATGAATACATTTCATTATGAATATAGTTCATTATGAATATAGTTTATTATGAATACATTTCATTATGAATATAGTTCATTATGAATATAGTTCATTATGAATATAGTTTATTATGAATATAGTTCATTATGAATATAGTTCATTATGAATATAGTTCATTATGAATATAGTTTATTATGAATATAGTGTATTATGAATATAGTTCATTATGAATATAGTTCATTATGAATATAGTTTATTATGAATATAGTTCATTATGAATATAGTTCATTATGAATATAGTTCATTATGAATATAGTTCATTATGAATACAGTGTATTATGAATATAGTTTATTATGAATATAGTGTATTATGAATATAGTTTATTATGAATATAGTTTATTATGAATATAGTTTATTATGAATATAGTTCATTATGAATATAGTTCATTATGAATATAGTTTATTATGAATATAGTTCATTATGAATATAGTTCATTATGAATATAGTTCATTATGAATACAGTGTATTATGAATATAGTTTATTATGAATATAGTTCATTATGAATATAGTTTATTATGAATATAGTTTATTATGAATATAGTTCATTATGAATATAGTTCATTATGAATATAGTCATTATGAATACAGTGTATTAGAATATAGTTTATTATGAATATAGTCATTATGAATATAGTTTATTATGAATATAGTTCATTATGAATATAGTTTATTATGAATATAGTTTATTATGAATATAGTTCATTATGAATATAGTTTATTTATGAATATAGTTCATTATGAATATAGTTCATTATGAATATAGTTCATTATGAATATAGTTTATTATGAATATAGTTTATTATGAATATAGTTCATTATGAATATAGTTCATTATGAATATAGTTTATTATGAATATAGTTTATTATGAATATAGTTCATTATGAATAGTTTATTATGAATATAGTTTATTATGAATATAGTTTCATTATGAATATAGTTCATATGAATATAGTTCATTATGAATATAGTTTATTATGAATATAGTTCATTATGAATACAGTGTATTATGAATATAGTTTATTATGAATATAGTTCATTATGAATATAGTTTATTATGAATATAGTTCATTATGAATATAGTTTATTATGAATATAGTTTATTATGAATATAGTTCATTATGAATATAGTTTATTATGAATATAGTTCATTATGAATATAGTTCATTATGAATATAGTTTATTATGAATATAGTTATTATGAATATAGTTCATTATGAATATAGTTCATTATGAATATAGTTCATTATGAATACAGTGTATTATGAATATAGTTCATTATGAATATAGTTCATTATGAATATAGTTTATTATGAATATAGTTCATTATGAATATAGTTTATTATGAATATAGTTTATTATGAATATAGTTCATTATGAATATAGTTCATTATGAATATAGTTCATTATGAATACAGTGTATTATGAATATAGTTTATTATGAATATAGTTCATTATGAATATAGTTCATTATGAATATAGTTCATTATGAATACAGTGTATTATGAATATAGTTTATTATGAATATAGTTCATTATGAATATAGTTTATTATGAATATAGTTTATTATGAATATAGTTCATTATGAATATAGTTCATTATGAATATAGTTTATTATGAATATAGTTCATTATGAATATAGTTTATTATGAATATAGTTCATTATGAATATAGTTTATTATGAATATAGTTTATTATGAATATAGTTCATTATGAATATAGTTTATTATGAATATAGTTTATTATGAATATAGTTCATTATGAATATAGTGTATTATTAATATAGTTTATTATGAATATAGTTTATGAATATAGTTCATTATGATATAGTTCATTATGAATATAGTTTATTATGAATATAGTTTATTATGAATATAGTTCATTATGAATATAGTTTATTATGAATATAGTTCATTATGAATATAGTTTATTATGAATATAGTTCATTATGAATATAGTTCATTATGAATATAGTTCATTATGAATATAGTTCATTATGAATACAGTGTATTATGAATATAGTTTATTATGAATATAGTTCATTATGAATATAGTTATTATGAATATAGTTCATTAGAATATAGTTCATTATGAATATAGTTTATTATGAATATAGTTCATTATGAATATAGTTATTATGAATATAGTTCATTATGAATATAGTTCATTATGAATACAGTGTATTATGAATATAGTTTATTATGGAATATAGTTCATTATGAATATAGTTTATTATGAATATAGTTCATTATGAATATAGTTTATATGAATATAGTTCATTATGAATATAGTTTTTATTATGAATATAGTTTATTATGAATATAGTTTATTATGAAATATAGTTCATTATGAATATAGTTTATTATGAATATAGTTTATTATGAATATATTTTATTATGAATATAGTTCATTATGAATATAGTTTATTATGAATATAGTTCATTATGAATATAGTTCATTATGAATATAGTTCATTATGAATATAGTTCATTATGAATATAGGTTATTATGATTATAGTTCATTATGAATATAGTTTATTATGAATATAGTTCATTATGAATATAGTTCATTATGAATATAGTTTATTATGAATATAGTTCATTATGAATATAGTTTATTATGAATATTTTATTATGAATATAGTTCATTATGAATATAGTTATTATGAATATGTTCATTATGAATACAGTGTATTATGAATATAGTTTATTATGAATATAGTTCATTATGAATATAGTTCATTATGAATATAGTTTATTATGAATATAGTTCATTATGAATATAGTTCATTATGAATATAGTTTATTATGAATATACTTTATTATTAATACAGTTTATATTATGAATGATCAATAATTATTGGTAATTCAATGTGTGCAGCTGCAGAGGCAGCAGCTCCTCCTGATAGGGAGAAGGATGATCTGATGATGGATGGATGTTTTTCACTCTGCCGTCCTGGAAGTAAAGAGCCACGATGAGGCTTCTCACATTGTGCTGCAGGGTGAGCTGTGACCCTGTGAGTGGACATTGTGCTGCATCAAGGCGAGTCCTCGGCTCCACGCCGACATGCAGCTCCTCCAGCAGAGCCTCGGTGGGACAGGCTGGATCATCCCAGTTTTCCTCCAGATCTCTCAGATTATTGGCTGAACAAAGGAACTCAGTCACCCAGTGGAGCTCCCCGTCCTCCTGCAGGGGGCGCAGCTGAGTCTGGAGCCGTCTGCCCTGACCACGCAGCAGCTGGACCATCTGGACCAACACACAGTGGAGAGAAATTTACTGAAGGAGACATGAAGTGAGGCTCTGTGCCAGTCAATAAACCAACCATGCAGACGATGCAGTTCAGGGTTTCTGGGTCACTTTTGGCCAAAACAGCTGGAGTGTTTTCTGGTAGAGCTGCAGACAAACAAAATGAGCTACAATATCAATAATCCATCGTCTATAATCAGTCGTCCTCACAGCGCCGCTGTCTGCAGGTCAGCTGTCCATCAGAGGACAACATGCAGTCACACTAAAGGACATTCAGGCTAAATGAAGCAGGAGGACAGCAGACACCCTGACCCGAGACATTCAGGGGGAAGTGAGGATTTACAGTCCAAGGCGCTGACCAGCAGGTGGACAGCATCCATCAGATCTCTGGAAGCAGAAGAAACATGGAGAAGAGCCGAGAACCAGACGACAGCTTCAGTCTGCGGACGCTGATATTCTCCAGAACGGATCTGATCCAGCTGCCAGGAGGACATGGAGCATGGACATGTGAGAACAGACAGAAAAATGGTAACAGCTTCTTGTATAGATGATAAATAACAAGGCGACATGACAACACTTATATTTCTGCATGTAAAACTTTTACTGATGAATTACAGACCTTGATGTGTTTTATAGACTTAGACTTATTTTATTGTCATTGCTCAAAGAAACATAAGTAAAACTGGTAATGAAACATCATCACTTGGAAGCGCAGAGACACAAGTGTGTCTATAATTACATCATAAAACCAACAGGAACGTGTTGCTCAATATATATCACTAAGTATTTTCAAGCAGTTCAGACAGTTTCAGTGATGGGAGTGTTGAGCAGCCTGCCGGTTCTGCAGTAGAAGCTGCAGACGCTCCTCCAGACGCCAGCGGATCATCAGACCATGGAGGGATGATGGAGTCACACAGGATCTGGCAGCGTCTGTGTGCAAAGCTCTGGAGATCAAATGATCCTCTCCGCTGTCTTCACAAACACTTGCAGATCCCAGATCTTACGTGTTTTAATAGGTAAATTGTGTTATTTCTAAAAGGATGGGAGGCAATAAGTGACTAAAACTATATGATCACACAAAAGGTTCAAATAAGATTCATAAATACATATGTATGTGTAAAAAACAACAAAACAAACTCTAACTGATTACTATTTAGTTTTCTCTTTTCCTCTGTCTGAGCCTTGCTGTTGTGCATCTGACCTCTGACCTCCACTCCTCAAACCTTTCCTCCCAGGGACCAGATGATGAAAGTGATCCAGTAGATCCAGTGGCTCAAGAAGATCAAGAAGGTGAAGAAAACCTTCATCTGATCTAGATGATCTTTGAACCAGAGAACCGATGGAATGTTTCAGTCTGGGGACGTCTGTCTGTCTGCTGGTGAACTTTGACCTCCAGTGGTCTGCTGTCCAGTGTCAGTAGAGAAAGAAAAGAGAAACATGCTCCAGAAACTAAATATAGAAAAGAATTGTAGAAAAACTCAGATGACCGTAAATAAACCCATGAAAACTGAGATAAAGATAAAAGCTGCAGTTTGTTTTTCCATATAATATCTGGCTGCATTGAGATTGAACAGAAGAACATTTCTAAACTACAGCTGTGATAAATTTGAACTGAAAGAGGTAAAAAGACAAAAGAAAAAACTTTCTGTGCTCAGGTTAGTGAACAGGTTGAAATGTTTTTTAAAGGTTTTCTTTAGGTTGCAGAATACTAAGAAAAAGGATTTTTCACAATGACATGAACCAGGTCTGTAGATCCAATCAGAACTTTAACTTCCTTCTTTGGAAATGATTTGATGTTTTGTCTCCATCTGGTGGAGCTTTGAGTTTGGAGCTTCTTTATTATGACTGATTGTCTCTGCATTGAGCAAAATATAAAAATACATCTGATGAGTGATTTCATGTGACAGTGGCCGTGTCTGCCAGGTCGGACCTGAAGCAGTTCAGGAGGTTCTGTTGACCCGGTGCTGCTTCACAGCCGGGCTCCGTTAACAACCTTTTGGCTGGGATTTAAATCACGTCTTATTGGTGGAGGTGTTTCTTTTGGGCTCTATCTTCAGCTGAAAACATCTGCAGCTTGTTGCAGCTTGTTTCAGATTCTCAGCTCTGTTTCTTTACATGTTTCACCTGTAAAAAGTTTCAAGGTCAGTTTTCATCCTCCTGAACCCATCAGAGATCTTCTCCACCGCCTCCACCTGCTCTGGTTCACAGCTTACAATCGATGCAGGTCTGAGTTTCTCTGTGAGGCTCAGCAGCTCCAGGAGGTTGATTTCCAGTCTGATGAATTTTATGGCTTCAGCTCCAACTGATTTCTTCCGAACGTTCCCACATGAACTTTTCACTTCTTCCAGAGAGTTTTTCAGTTCTTTCACAATCAGTCTGAACTCCTCTACCAGGCGGTTCATCTTGTAAACATGAGGCCGTTCTAAAACTTTCTGCCTTACAATAAAACAAAGTAGAGCAACAGCACCAAACGTAGCAGCTGCTCCAAACACAGCAAAGCTCAAACCTTTTGAATCAGGAGCTGCTAATGCAGCCAGCAGAGCTCCAGATGCCAGGAGAGCAGCTGCTGTCCAGGTCCAGGTTCTGGTCTCATTCTGGATCAGTTCTACTGCAGCACTGAGGTCCTGGAGGTGGTGCAGGATCTGCCTCATGGTGGCGTCGCTGCGATCACACAGCTGGACAAACGCAGCTGTGTTCTGGGACAGCCTGGGCCTCCAGTCACTGAGGGGGGAAGGTTGGTGATGCCACAGGATGTCCCGAAAAAACCAATCCATTGTCAAAATACAGCAAGAGAAACCTGAAGTTCCCAGGAGTCTGGCTAGATGTGTAGATAGAAGCTGTTCCCAGATCAGCGGCAGATCTCTGTCCTGACAGGCTCAGACCGGCGCTGGCTGGTTCAGACTCACAGGTTAAACCAGGTGACAGCGTGATGTCATCATCTTTTATTATGTTAACGCCTGTAGCTTTAGCTTACCTGTAAACTTGCACGTCCACAACTCACCTGGAAAATAGATTTACAGACTCTTCAGCATCCTGAATGATTGATAGAACTGGATTCATTTATTTTTCTTTAAACTTTATTGAACATCCATTGAGATTCAGACTTTCACAAGGCAGCAGTAGACATAACAGTAAAATGTGTGACACATTGACAGTACTTCCTTTTAAATGAGCAATTTGTAATATAGAAACAGGGAAATGTAAGATTTAAAGGGCCAGTGCTTCTGAAAATACAGTGAGGGCCAGAAATATTTGGACAGTAACACAATTTTCGTGAGTTGGGCTCTGCATGCCACCGCATTGGATTTGAAATGAAACCTCTACAACAGAATTCAAGTGCAGATTGTAACGTTTAATTTAAAGGGTTGAACAAAAATATCTGATAGAAAATGTAGGAATTGTACACATTTGTTTTCAAACACTCCACATTTTAGGAGCTCAAAAGTAATTGGACATATAAACATAACCCAAACAAAAAGTTTTTTCTCAATATTTTGTTGCGAATCCTTTGGAGGCAATCACTGCCTTAAGTCTGGAACCCATGGACATCACCAAACGCTGGGTTTCCTCCTTCTTAATGCTTTGCCAGGCCTTTACAGCCGCAGCCTTCAGGTCTTGCTTGTTAGTGGGTCTTTCCGTCTGAAGTCTGGATTTGAGCAAGTGAAATGCATGCTCAATTGGGTTAAGATCTGGTGATTGACTTGGCCATTGCAGAATATTCCACCTTTTTGCTCTCATGAACTCCTGGGTAGCTTTGGCTGTATGCTTGGGGTCATTATCCATCTGTACTGTGAAGCGCCGTCCGATCAACTTTGCAGCATTTGGCTGAATCTGGGCTGACAGTATATCCCGGTACACTTCAGAATTCATCCGGCTACTCTTGTCTGCTGTTATGTCATCAATAAACACAAGTGACCCAGTGCCATTGAAAGCCATGCATGCCCATGCCATCACGTTGCCTCCACCATGTTTTACAGAGGATGTGGTGTGCCTTGGATCATGTGCCATTCCCTTTCTTCTCCAAACTTTTTTCTTCCCATCATTCTGGTACAGGTTGATCTTTGTCTCATCTGTCCATAGAATACTTTTCCAGAACTGGGCTGGCTTCTTGAGGTGATTTTGGGCAAATTTAACTCTGGCCTGTCTACTTTTGGAATTGATGAATGGTTTGCATCTACATGTGAACCCTTTGTATTTGCTTTCATGGAGTCTTCTCTTTACTGTTGACTTAGAGACAGATACACCTACTTCTCTGAGAGTGTTCTGGACCTCAGTTGATGTTGTGAACGGGTCCTTCTTCACCAAAGAAAGTATGCGGCGATCATCCACCACCGTTGTCTTCCGTGGACGCCCAGGCCTTTTTGAGTTCCCAAGCTCACCAGTCAATTCCTTTTTCCTCAGAATGTACCAGACTGTTGATTTTGCTACTCCAAGCATGTCTGCTATCTCTCTGATGGATTTTTTCCTATTTTTCAGCCTCAGGATGTTCTGCTTCACCTCAATTGAGAGCTCCTTTGACCGCATGTTGTCTGGTCACAGCAACAGCTTCCAAATGCAAAACCACACACCTGGAAACAACCCCAGACCTTTTAACTACTTACTTGATTACAGGTTAACGAGGGAAAGGCCTTTTGAGTTACTTGCAGCCTTTGGAGTCCATTGTCCAATTACTTTTGGTCCTTGAAAAAGAGGAGGCTCTGCATTACAGAGCTATGATTCCTAAACCCTTTCTCCGATTTGGATGTGGAAACTCTCATATTGCAGCTGGGAGTGTGCACTTTCAGCCCATACTATATATAAATTGTATTTCTGAACATATTTTTGTCAACAGCTAAATAACAAACCTGTGTCACTGTCCAAATATTTCTGGCCCTAACTGTATTTCTGTTGTAAATTTGTTCAAATGGAAGGGAAACAAGTCGATGGCTGAGAAACTTAAAGCTTTATTTCCTTTTGCTGCTGCTGCTGACTTTGGCTCTGATGATTTCATCTTCATCCTCTGGGATTCAGTTTGGCCTCAAATTCCATCCACGCTGGCATCGCTCCGTTTCATTTATTCTCATTTCTACTTCAGTTTTTGCAGTGTTTCCACAGCTCCACGTCAGTCTTCAATGTTTCGATTTCTGTAAATATGATTGATTTCTTCAGAGCATCGATGCTAACGGTGTTAAGGGTGACTAACATACATATGTATGTGATAAAGCAATGCATTATTCAATGTCACTATTTTGTGTTGTATGCGAAAGAACACCACATGTAGTATCAGCGCATTGATCTCACTGTGTTCTAGGGAAAAACGTCAAATAAAGTCAAGTCGTGTTCCACTGAGGTTCAGTTGAGTTTATATAGTTATGAGAAGAACAACAGTGACCATATTTTGTAACTTGTCAGAGCGAGTATTGATTATCTGAATGTTGTCTTGTAAATGACAGAGACCAGCCACCTTTTAGTTTCTTTTCCTCTGGTTTAGCAGGAGAATCTGGACCAGAATCCGGTAGAGGACGCAGATCAGGGAACCAATATGGTTGTGATGGGAGGCAGAGAAACTGCAGCTGGACCAGATGGGCAGCAGAACCGGGGACCACTGCTTTCAGCCGATGAGATCATCAGGCTGGGCTGCAACCGTTGCATGGCGGGATAGTTAGTTCAAGATGACCCTTGACCCTTGACCTTAGAGGTTAGCTTGTTAGCTGCTAGTGTTTTCTTGATCTTGAACAGTCTCAGTAAAAATGTCTCCCGATCAGGTTGAGTAGAGCAGAAAACAGAAGCTAAAACATTCCTGGATCAAAAAGAGAGAAATCTAAAACACAGCATCAGGTCTGGTCGCCATCTTGGTTCCACTGACTCCCTCAGTCAGAGAAACGCTCCAGCTAGTTTTCCATCTGTTGTCAATGATAACGTTGGTGGATGGCTGGTGACGAGCTTTACCCAGAATGCACTTGGAAACAATACAGACGATCCACTTGTAATTTAGTATGTGACATAATTAAATTACAGAAAGCCAGTCATGTAGCGCAACATTTTATTTTACAGCCACTATGTCATTAAAACCAGTTGGTCTGGTAAAGGTTTGAGCGACCAGGAGTCAACAATAACTGGTGCTATAAAATCCTACGTACACCAAACGCAGCGCGGCCTCCTGTTGATTATGTTGTTTCAAAACATAATCAAAACACTGATTATGTTTTGAAACATAATCATTGAACATTTTGATGTGCAGCGATGATTTTAGACAGCACTGATTTTTGATACTGATTTTACAGTTGTTGACTGATGTGTTTATGTTTTCACGATGTAAAGCACTATGAACCGTTTTGCTGCCGATTTGTTCTATACCAATAAAGTTGACTGATTTATTGATGTCAGTTTTTTTAGGTTCAACAGGGTGATGTCCCAATGCATAACCTCAAAGAAGAAAAGCAGATCATAAAAACATCTAAAATCAGGTCATCAATAACAAATCAATAATTTAATCTGCCAGTATCTGATTGTAATGCACAGCTGCTACCACTAGGTGCTGCTCACGCACCAACATGTTCCCAAAGCAACATCTTTAATAAATAACAGGAGTCAAATTAAATCATAAACACTTGATGCAGTTGGTAAAGAATTTTTTTTTTTTTATCAAATATTCTCCAGAAATCTGTATGAAATATAAAATTATCATGATTAGTGACTTTTATTCCAATCAAAACCCTATCTCCGAAATGAGGAAAAGTTGATCAAATCATTTCTATAAAGTAAATGTTTATTTATGGTTCAGGTTCAACTGAGGATCAACATGGGGGCACGGGACTCCTGGGGGACAGGTGAGCAGGTGATCTGGGTCAGCTCTCATGTTCTGGATCAGCCTGTTGGATCTGATGGGTCGTTTGAGCAGAACCATCTACTTTATCGCAATGTTTCTGTGGCTGAAAAGGAGGAAGAGTTGAAGACTGTAATGATATGGTTCAACTGACACTAAAACAAAACCTTTAAACTCACTCTTCTTCTATCAAGTACAAGATTTATCAGGTGCTTTCCAAACGTCCTTCGTCTGAGATTCTTCCATTTTATTTCTTTGGTGACCAATAGCAGAGAGGAAAAGATGAAGATTTCCCCCAGTCGAGTGAAGCAGCAATAAACCCAGACTGGCTGTTCGTTTGTTTTTGACCTCTATTGCTCCGAACCCACCGGGACGGTGCTGCTCAGATTCACTCGGCCCCTTCCCTGAAAGCAGACACATCGAGAGGTCCGAACCGTCCCACAGACCCGAATCCCACAGAAACTCAGAACTCTGGACCAGAACCTGGCTGACCCGCCACGCCTCTGCAGCCCACCAGTTCACACAGGAAGTGGTTCTCCTTCTCCTTGTTTCAGTGCAGCGGTTCATAAACTCATTAGTGTTAGAAAACAAGAACGAAACTTTTCAGCACGTCTCCTAACGCCACGTTCATCCTGTACAGATCAACTTCACCCAGAATGATTTCAGTCACCGAGACGTTTCTGATGAAATCTGAGTCAAACCAGCCTGTTCCCCTCCTGGCCTGTGGGGGCGCGGCACCAACAACCACTGCAGGAAACGACACTAAAACCTCTGAAGACGCTGAGAGCAACTTCCTGTTTCACCAGATGAAACAAGATGGAGGCGTCAGAGTTTATGTTGGAGGATTTCTCTTTAGTCTTTGAGCCTTTTCTGCTGCTAGCGCTAGGCTAGCATGTTAGCTTTGGCTGAATTTACCCAGAATGCCCTGCGCTGTAGTCCACTTCCTGTTTTTGGAGCAGTTTCTGGTCCACTTGGTGGTCACATTCAGACCGAACCAGACCGGGGTTTGGAGGACCAGAGGTCAGAGGTCAGCTACAGATCTGACCTCTGAGCTGGATTAAAGCAAACTGGACCAAAGTCTCGTTAGTGAAAGACGGTGGCCTGATGGATCAATCCCTATGGTCTAAAGAGATGAAAGGCTGATGGATGGGCTTCATGGTTCATTCATTCATCAGACAGGAGAACTGCTGCGTCTTTTCAGCATGAACCAGTTTTTATTTTCAGACAGAACACGGTTAGCAGAGGAAGCAGTCCAGACTTCACATCACGTCTGGAGCCGTGAACACAAAGTGACCAGTTAACCCAGAGAATACAAAAACACAAAATATACACAATATACACAACAGAGATGATCCTTCGGCAGCGTCGTCCTGTCTGTTATTCCGGAAGCAGTTTTCTAATTCTGCAGTGACTTGATGTTTGGAGCAGAAACCTGGAGTCCCTCAGGGCCGAGTGGTCGACCCTTTTATTCCCAGGTCACAAACGAATGAACAAAGCAGCAAAACTGAAATAAAACTCAGTTTTTAGAGTTAATAGGTGTTGGACAGGCTTCTGAAATCAGCGCCAAGTTTTAGTTTTACCTGAACTTGGTGAGATGAAAAAGCTGCCAGTGAGGAGAGCCATTGATTCTGAGCTGATCAATTACTGAAACATTGATGTTCATTAAATGCCTCAAAAATTTTGTTTTCACACATTAAAACAACAAAATCATTTAATGTGATTCAGTCAGCAGCTCAGACATTTCAGATCAGTGCAAATTATTTATAATTATTAATAATCATTCAGGATTCACTACGAAATTAACCAACAACACCAACATGGGGACAAAATAAAATATAAATAAAGTATAATATGACCTTCATCAGTGATGGATGAAGGTTCATCAGCCACCAGAAAAATCCTTCAGATAGCTGACCTGCAGGTCAGAGGTCGGAAGCATGCATGGAGGGAGGGGAGCAGCAGCCGAAAAACTAAACATCATCAAATATCCGATTCCGAGACGAAGACATGGAGAGATATCGTCCTCCTGCATGTCTGCAGACACAGAAGATCAACAAACTGCATGATTCAGGAAATAAACGTGATTCTGGGGTGTGTGACTGAGCCAGGTGTGTGTGACGGTGTGTGTGTGTGTGACTGTGTGTGTGACTGTGTGTGTGACGATGTGTGTGTGTGTGTGACGGTGTGTGTGTGTGACGATGTGTGTGTGTGACGATGTGTGTGACTGTGTGTGTGACGGTGTGTGACGGTGTGTGACGGTGTGTGTGACGATGTGTGACTGTGTGTGTGACGGTGTGTGACTGTGTGTGTGACGGTGTGTGTGACGGTGTGTGTGACTGTGTGTGTGACGATGTGTGTGACTGTGTGTGACGGTGTGTGTGTGTGACGATGTGTGTGTGTGACGATGTGTGTGACTGTGTGTGTGACGGTGTGTGACGGTGTGTGACGGTGTGTGTGACGGTGTGTGTGACGGTGTGTGTGACTGTGTGTGTGACGATGTGTGTGACTGTGTGTGTGACGGTGTGTGACGGTGTGTGTGACGGTGTGTGTGACGGTGTGTGTGACTGTGTGTGTGACAGTGTGTGACGGGGTGTGTGACGGTGTGTGTGACGGGGTGTGTGCCGGACTTCCTGTCTACCTGCTGGCCTCGGCCTCCAGGACGTCGTCCGTCGGGGCGTCGGCGTTGAAGTCCAGCGGTTCGGCGTCCTGCAGCAGCTCGATGCGGTCCCTGTCCGCCCGGCTGGCAGAGCGAGAATACTTCACCTCTGAAGACCACAAACAGGTTCTGTTAAGGTTCTGTTGGGATTGTGGTTGGGTTCTGGTTGTGGTTCGGACTCACGTCTGTCCCTGCTGGACTCGGAGTAACTGGTCTCCTTCATCTCGTGGCTGCTCCGGTTGCGGGGAGCGAAGTCCTCCCTCTGGTTGCCGTAGCGCTCCTTCCACTCCTGAAACAGACAGACGCAGTGAGCATTCCCTCCAGCAGAGGGCGCCGAACCGTCGTCATGTCACTCGTTCTTCCACTCACTCTCCGTCGGTTCTCTCCGTCTTCGATCCTCTGCCTCTTCCTCCTCTCTGTGGAAACACAAACCGGTTTGAGGAACATTCTGGGATTTCGGCCATCTTTACTCCGCTCTCACCGCGTCGGATCAGCTCCTTCCCCTCGTCGATGAGGTCAGAGGTCATCTCGCTGTCATCCATGAACTGCTGGAAGCCCAGGAGGTTCAGGCAGCGTTCCCAGACTGAGTCAGAGCCAAGAACATCTTTAGAGGGCCAGCAGGTTTTCTGATAAATTTACAGTTTCTATACTGTAGTAATTATTTCAACTTATTTTAATAAGAGTGGATTCCTAACTGATCCTGACCGATCCTTTCTGATCCCTGATGGTTTGGTTTTCCTCGCCAGTCCAGCGGTGTCATGGCGGACTCACCGGGCCGGTGAAGAACCATTAATAGCTGCTTCCTGTTAGCATTTTCTACTATTGATTAGCCAGTAGGATTTGATATTTTAATATTGAAATATTAAATTTAAATCAATATTTGATTTATTATAATAAAAACAAGAATCAATCATATAGATATTGAAAGAATACATCATTTAAATGTCAGTGATGTGCGGTGACGCTCTGACATCATCAGACCTCCTGCATCTTATTGTTTACATGCGGATATTGAAGGAAAAAGTTCCCTAAAGTTCCCTCTAGTTTATGCTGCCAAGGTTCAATAAATCTGTTAATAACTCAATGAAACTTGGAAACATAGATATTATTAACTTAGAGATGCACAGCAAAGGAACCACTGTAGCTTCACTTATTTACTGTATGGCTAGCTCCCTGGCTAGCTTCATGCCTGGCTAGCTTCAAGCCTAGCTCCCTGGCTAGCTCCATGGCTAGCTTCGTGCCTAGTTCCATGGCTAGCTCCCTGGCTAGCTTTATGCCTAGCTCCCTGGCTAGCTTCAAGCCTAGCTCCCTGGCTAGCTTTATGCCTAGCTCCCTGGCTAGCTTCATGCCTGGCTAGCTTCAAGCCTAGCTCCCTGGCTAGCTCCTTGGCTAGCTTCAAGCCTAGCTCCCTGGCTAGCTCCCTGGCTAGCTTTATGCCTAGCTCCCTGGCTAGCTCCCTGGCTAGCTTTATGCCTAGCTCCCTGGCTAGCTCCCTGGCTAGCTTCAAGCCTAGCTCCCTGGCTAGCTTTATGCCTAGCTCCCTGGCTAGCTTCATGCCTGGCTAGCTTCAAGCCTAGCTCCATGGCTAGCTTAGTGCCTAGCTCCCTGGCTAGCTCCCTGGCTAGCTTTATGCCTAGCTCCCTGGCTAGCTTTATGCCTAGCTCCCTGGCTAGCTTTATGCCTAGCTCCCTGGCTAGCTCCACGCCATCGTTAAATATCTATATGATTGAACCTTGTAGCAGCTACAGCATGTTTTACTGCTCTGTGTTAATAAAGTTTGACTGACTGAATAATGTCATCCTCTTCTTCCCATCATGTTTAAAGGTCAAAGGTTAAAGGTAAGCGGAAGCTGCCGACCTGAAGTAGGTGGCGATGCAGAGGATGACGATCAGCATGGGGTAGTAGATGTAGAAGCCGTTGGCGATGAAGGACAGAACGCGCATCGAGCCCATGATCTGAAACACAGAGGGAAAGCTGAGCCCGGTTCTGGTTCTGATCGTGGTTCTGAATGCGGCGGTCTCACCGAGGTGTAGGCCGTGGGCAGCTTCTGCTGGTGGGAGATGGCGGAGTCCATGTGGATCAGACCCAGGAAGTTCAGGCAGAGAGGAGGAGTGAGACGGCAGAACAACCTGACGAGGAACCAGAGGGAGGTCAGGACCGGGTCTGGGTCTGGGTCGGGTCTGGGTCTGGGTCAGGACCGGACCAGGACCGGGTCAGGACCAGGACTGGGTCTGGGTCAGGTCCGGGTCAGGACCAGGATCGGGTAAGGAACGGGTCCGGGTCAGGACTGGACCGGGATCGGGTCTGGTTCTGACCGGATCAGAACCCAAAACGACCCAGAGATCCTGAACAGGGTCAGCAATGTTTCTACTGTAGCAAATATTAGATTTAAAAATTAAATAAGATAAAAAAAGACAAACTGTAAAATAATAATAATAAAATAAAATATTTTTATGAAACTTTAAACATTTAAGGCCAGAAGCCAATGAAAGAGCTGCAGCGCCCCCTACTGACATGCCGCTGAACTGCAGGCTGTAGGCGTCGGTCTGGTGGTGGGAGGCCAGGTAGTAATAGTTAAAGACCCGGATCCGGAACACGGTGGAGTAGACGCAGGTGCAGAGGAAGAAGATGGTGATGAAGCACGCCATCTGGTGGACACACAGCACATTACGCCTAAACGTTCTCAACAGGAATCAATCTGGGCCTGGACCGGACTCAAGGCCCCGGACTCAAGGACCCGGGCCCTGAGGCCCGGACCCTGAGGCCCCGGACCCTGAGGCCCCGGACCCTGAGGCCCCGGACCCTGAGGCCCCGGACCCTGAGGCCCGTACCCTGAGGCCCCGGACCCTGAGGCCCCGGACCCTGAGGCCCCGGACCTGCTGCACCCAGGTGTCTCACCTCGATGTACAGGTAGTTGTAGTCTCTCTCTGCCAGCTGGATGAAGACGGCGAACAGCGACAGGACGGGTCGGGTGCTGAAGAACGTGCACTCGGACCAGACCACGGCCACGCTGAACAGCGTCAGAACCACAGACACCAGCCGGTAGAACCAGCGCTTCAGGAGGCATTCCCAGTACCACTCTGGGACAGAAGCACAGGCAGGTCAGGTCGGGGTCCTCTGGGCTCCGGTGCCGGCGGGGAGCGGCGACCCACCTACGGTCGGGGTGTAGACGTAGCGGCTGAAGCGGCCCGGCGGCTCGGCGGACTGGAAGCTGTGGACGAACTGGTGGCTCAGACTGGTCTCGTTCTTGGCCACGTCCTCCAGGTGGACGGCCTGTTGCAGCAGGATCTGCCACTGGACCCGGGTCCGGTTGTGCCTCTGCACGGCGTAGATCACCTGAGGACGGACGGCGGGGTGAGACGGCGGCGGCGGCTCCGGAACCGGACCGGGCCAGGCGCGACGCTCACCTGCTTGTGCAGCTTGACCAGACTCTTCTCGGTCGGGTACGAGTTCTGCTTGTCGTCAAAGTCTTCGTAGTCGTCCATGTTCCGACCCATCTTCTCCTGGTAGTCCACGGGACACTGGGAGGTCAGAGGTCAGAGTCAGGGGTCAACTCCACAGGGCCCGCCGGAGTACCAGAACCGCCTGCTTACCTTCCTCAGGATGGTGTCGATGCATTTCCTCAGCGGATGGTTATACTTGATGGACTCGCTGACCTTCCTCACCTCCTGCAGCAGAACACAGCCTCAGTAGAACCCGACCAGAACCAGAAGCAGAACCCGGCCGAAGCCCTCAGGGCCGCCCACCTCCATCACGTCCTCCAGGTTCTCCTCTGCGTCCGCCTTCTCCGTCATCAGCTTGGAGGCCTTGAAGTAGGTCTTCATGAGCAGGTGTCCGTGGCGCGAGGCGTTCCAGTAGGAGCGCGGGATTTCCACCAGGCCGTAGCCCAGCAGCAGCACCAGCAGGAACAGGCCCCACGTGTTGGCCGCCGTGATGCCGATAGTCTGCAGCTGGTACCTGGGCAGAGGGCACCGGGTCAGCTTGACCCAAAGCTCAGAACCCGGGCCAGGACAGCGTGCCTCACCAGGACAGGTGAGACAGAGGCCAGTCGGGGTGAACCGCCACGTAGATGAGCAGCGAGCCGAAGATCAGCAGGTAGGTGCCGTAGTAGATGGCGTTCTCGATGAGCGCCGTCTTGATCTTCCCGGTGATGGAGAACCCTCCGGAGCGAGCGTACGACTGCATGAAGGGCAGCAGCAGCCTGGGAACAGCGGCACAGGGTCAGAGCGGCTGCAGAACCGGCCGGCCGGCCGGATCCGGGTCCAACCCACCAGGTGAGGCACTGAGAGGTCCAGTACACCACCCTCCAGAACACGGGCATGATGCCTTCGGGGATGTAGCTCCAGGGCCGGTGACATGGCGACGGGACGGTCCTGGAGACGGAAACCAAACTTAGCTTCCACCAGAACGGGGAACACGTTAGCGGCTAACAACCAGCGCTAACAACCAGCGCTAACAACCAGTGCTAACAACCAGCACTAACAACCAGCGCTAGCAGCCAGCACTAACAACCAGCGCTAGCAGCCAGCACTAACAACCAGCACTAACAACCAGCGCTAAGAACCAGCGCTAACAACCAGTGCTAACAACCAGCACTAACAACCAGCGCTAGCAGCCAGCATTAACAACCAGCGCTAACAACCAGCGCTAGCAGCCAGCACTAACAACCAGCACTAACAACCAGCGCTAACAACCAGCGCTAACAACCAGTGCTAACAACCAGCACTAACAACCAGCGCTAGCAGCCAGCACTAACAACCAGCGCACAACAGCGCTAACAACCAGCACTAACAACCAGCGCTAACAACCAGTGCTAACAACCAGCGCTAGCAGCCAGCACTAACAACCAGCGCTAACAACCAGTGCTAACAACCAGCACTAACAACCAGCGCTAGCAGCCAGCGCTAACAACCAGCGCTAACAACCAGCGCTAGCAACCAGCGCTAACTCTCCTGGTTAGCGCTGGTTTATGTTATTTTATTTCTAGTTTTATTTTTCCAATTACACGAAGCACCAAACCACATCTGATGTTTTGTCTATTGAGTCAAACAGTTAATGAGATCAGAAGAACTGATCCAACTGGACCAACAGAACCGTTTCTGACCAACATGCAGAAATGTTGCAGCTGTTAAAGCCTCATTAGCAACATTCAGTCAAATCTAGACCAGCTGAGATTTGAATATTGTTTCACTGGAGATGTTTTGCTAATATTTTTACTGTCTAATTCACATCTTTAATATAAAAACACTGAGCAGGTTTACTGGAGAAACTGCAATGAATCCACAACTTAATCACTTTTATCTTCAGACTCAATAAAGAAATGCTTTAATTTCAGGGAATAAAATGTTGATTTTTATAATTTAATGTTTATTTCATGCATTTCCAAAGTGCTATGAGAATCACTAAGAGTTTAAATGAAGAATCTGTAGAATGAGCCACTTTAGTTACTGATGAATGAATTGATCATGACAATAATCAATAGATTGATAGACTGCCTGATCAGATGGGAGCTGCTCAGATCACCGTAAGTATCCAGAGCAACAGGAAGGCTCTTCTTCCTACCTCCTGGTCGGAGCCATGCTGCGTTGGGCGGGTTGGGCCCACTGGGTCCGGTCCGGTTGGTCGGGCTGGCGGTGGACGCAGGAAGGTGTTCCTCATGGTCTTCGATGCACTGCCTGTAGATGGTCTGTAGGGGCAGAAACACAGGTTGGACCTGCTGGGTTCAGCGGGCGGGGCGGGACCGGGCCCGGTCGGTACCGACCGTGCTGACGTCCAGCGGCAGGATGAAGACGATGAGGAAGCAGAGGTACCAGGCCAGCAGCGTGCCGAACAGAACCATGCGCTGCTGCTTCCGGAAGTCTCCGTAGCGGTGCAGCAGGAAGAGAGCCAAGAAGAAGACCAGGACGATCTCCAGGCCGAGCGCCGCGCCGCTCATGGTGCCGCAGCGCCCCCCGCAGGTCACACAGCAGCCTGCAGCAGAGCCACGACACCGGAAGGACGAATCCGTCACAAACCCCAACCACAGACTGGACCGGTTCTGGATCGGGCTTGTCCCGGTCCATACAGGTTTCTGCAGCTCTGACTCAGAGAGGTTTAAGAGAACCGGGTTTAAGGTCCAGTTTGGTTCTGATGAACACAAACTGGACCTTCTTTCCGGACCCATCTCCTCCCTGGTTCCTGCTGCATCCGGATCAACCCGGAGAACACCAGAACCTCTGGTTCTGGATCTGCTGAGATTCTGAGTTTGATCCAGTTTAACTCCGCCCACCAGTGACGTCATCGTGGCTGATGTTATTTTATTCAGACTTTCATTGCGTCATCAGTGACGAGCGGTGAGGCTCTGCCGTCATCAGACCTCCTGCATGTTACTGTTTTCATGCAGACATCGAAGGACAAAAGACTAAAGTTCCCTAAAGTTCCCTAAAGTTTACATGTCATCTTTAGCCGCGCTGCCAACGTAGAATAATTCTAGAATGAAACTTGAATGAAACAGCATCACTAGCTACCATGCAGGACTCGATCCAAGGCTAGCTCCAAGGCTAGCTCCCTGACTAGCCTTGGAAAAGCGCTGAAGGTTATATAGATGAGCTAAATGTTGTAAAATCAGTTGCTATATGAAATATTTTTGTAAGCATTTTAGTGGTAGTATATAAAAGATCATTATATTGTTGTGCTTTTTGGTTTCCGTCGGTAATGAAGGGTCTGTTGCAGGAACTTTCCTCCTTCCAGCTCAGATGAATTAAAGCTGAGTTGTTCTCAGAAGAACTGTGTGACCTCTGACCTTTGGCTCTGGCACAGACAGCATCTAGCGATGTCTGGCCAGAGAGCCATGCTGGCGTTGGGCGGGTTGGGCCCACTGGAGAGCGGTGAGTAAAATAACCAGGACTAGCTGGTTATATATAGAAAAAACGTAACGGATCAGCTGTTCGATGCTGGTTGCTAAGGCAACCACCAGCTGTCAAGAGCAGAATAAACAGAACTTAACGAAATCTCGCGATACTTTCCCCGAGCTGATCTGGGCCTGAGAACCAACACAAGCTCAAGATCTAATAACCTTCCTTACAATATCATTCTTCCATGATGACGTATGATGCACGTCACTGTGCGTCATACATTCAGAAACAGCAGCCCTGGTTAAATGGACTGGTTCCGGTTCCGGTTCTGGTCGCCTTCAGCTCGCAGGACGCACTGCGCATGTCTCAGAAAAGGGAAGTTCAGACTTCCGGGTGACGCGGTGATGTTAGCTGTGAGCCTTAAGCCCAGAGGAACCGAACCGAACCGAACCCGGAATCAACCCGCTCAGACAGTCGCTGCTTCTGGATCCGTCCAGATGAGCCCAGCCAGCTGCGATTCGGTTCATTAACCGGTCCGAGCAGAACCATCCGGACCAGCGGAGACCCTCAGCCTCGCTCCGGTCTCTCCGCTCCACATCCTCCGCTGACGTGTCCCTCTTACCGGGTACGAGTGGCGCTGCGTCCGCCTCCAGAGGCTCCTCGGCCGGTCACGCAGCTCCCCGCGCCGCGCTGGGCGGATCTTCCACCGACTTCACCGACACAGTCCGCGGTTCTCCCGCAGGACATCAGCGGAGCAGCATCCCGGTTCTCCTGGACGGACGGTGACGTCTGAGCAAAACAACACAGCTTCTTCTTCTGTGGTGCGGCACGGTGGGCCATGTGCGCTCATCACTGCCCCCTGGAGGTCACCGCGAACCTGGGTCCTGCAGAACCCGGTTGGTTCCGGTGCAGAATTCCTGCACCGAACCGTAAAGTGTTTAAAAATAATCCCAGTAATCTCAACATGCTACCTGGGAGGAGAGATTAAAGATTATAATCTTTATATGAAGAATGATTAGTTTAAGGCTCTTCCATTCCAAACATCAAATTACATCAAATGACCTTTTTATAGACACTTTATAGACTTAAAATATGTTCACAAATTAATACATGATTATTTAATCTTGAAAAAATTTTTAAAAATATTATCCTTGTTCAGAAATATAGATATATATTTCTGCTCAAAGAAAAACAGTTTGCACCGAACAGAATAAGATAAAAAAAATGTTTGATGGCTTCAGGCTGGAAGCTCTGCTTGTTTAATCATCAGAATTCATTTTAGATTTCAAATAGAAAGTTTTGTTCATTGTTCAGCATTAAATGTTTCCTCTTAATTAGAGAATAAGCAGAAATCTGGACTCTGCTGGGTTTATGTTGACTTATTCAGCTGGAGAACCAGGAACCGGGTTCTGTCACTGGTTCAGGTTCTCTTTCCCTGTGGGCAGATCTGGTTCTGGTTCTGGTTCTGAACCAGATCAAAGCTTTGTGTCTGAACTCCCTGCAGAATTGCTTCAATTTGTTTGTGTAATTGAGTGATTGTTAAATAAAGTTTAGTTTTCATCATTTCTCCTTTTGAACTAAAATATAATTATAAAATAATTACAGAAATAAAGTTTTCCTGATTCTCCTCTGATCTGTCGGAAAAATTTAATAAAAAAACTTTTTATTAAATGTTTGATGAAGCTGATGATGACATCATCAGCGATGAGCTTATTGGACCTGGGTTCTGGTTCTGGTTCTGGTGCAGGAGTACGTGCCTCGGGTCACACTAAGGAGCGTTTTCATCTGCAGCAGGACAGGAAGCAGGTTGGGGTCAGAGGTCGTCCACCTGCTCTCTTCCCCCTGAACCCGTCAGGTGAACTTACTGAGCAAATATTGACAGGATAAATGTGTCGGTACCAGCGGGTCGGTCCAAACGTTCTGTTCCTCAGTTCTTACATAACAGCAGTGAGAAACAGAACATCCTGCTGAGGAACCGCTGACCAGGCAGAGAGTACTAAACTAAACTAAACTAAACTAAAGTGAATTAATCTAAAATTAAACTAAAACTAAACTAAACTAAAACTAAACTTAAACTAAACTAAAACTAAACCTAAACAAAACAAAACTAAACTTAAACTAAAACGAAACTAAATTAAAACTAAACTAAAGTAAACTAAACTAAAACTAAATTAAACTAAAGTAAATTAATCTAAAATTAAACTATAACTAAACTAAATTAAACTTAACTAAAACTAAACCAAAACTAAATTCAACTAAAACTTAAACTAAAGTCCTGGATGCTGTGAACCCACACCACTTACTAAAATTGAAAAACTCCTGGCTCAGTTCTTCCGCTGCCAGGTTCTGGTTCTGGTTCTGGTTCTGCTGGAGGTTTGCTCCTGTTGTCGGAGAGTATTTCCTTTCTACTGTCGCCCCCTGCTGGCCTGGAGGAATGATGGTCATTGACTCGTTGCTCTGCTGCATTTCCATAGAAACGTTTTGAATTAATTTAAATAATTAATACATTGATTGATAACTAGGATCAACTAAAAGAAAAATGTCATTAAGGATCAGAGCGGTACCAGAACGTTGAACCCAGAACCATCGGTAGCCCCCTCCCCCGCCTGCTGCTGGATCAGCTGAGGAGGTCAAAGTTCAACATGCAGCCTGTTTGTTTTGTTCTCTCAGCAGAATCTGAATCTTAAAATAGCTTCAAATATTCACAGATTTTTGGACACAAAACCAGAGGTTCTGAGTGACCCGCCGGGCCTGCACAGAACCTCTAGCTGGAGCAGCTAAGCAGCTAGCCACTCACAAAGATGTTATTTTAAATTATATTTTATAATTAGGATTGAAAAACAGTAGATTTTATTATTCAAAATATATTTCAGTAAAATTGCTAATTTTTGCATTTCATTCTCATGTTCCCTCCAACTTTCTGGGGCCCTCTAGCGCCTCCTGGTGGCCCTCCAAGGGGCCATGGACCTAGTTCACCCCCTTTAACCCCTCCCCACAGCTAGCAAGCATACCCTGTAATAAATGCTAAGGCTAGTTAGCATAGCCACTGATGTCGGCAGATTGACAGTTTTCCAGTAACTGTAAGTTGTTTCCATTAGCACATTTAGCAGCGTGAACTCGAGGATGATTGCCAGTGCTAAGCCCCGCCTCCCGGTTCTGATTGGTTGTGTTTGGTTGTTTGATCAACAGATTATCTGTTTCATGACGTCACAACATGGAGGCAGATTGAATAAATATGGAAAACAAACTTAGTATTTAATATGGTTACAAACTGCAGCTTTAGAGCAACCTTAAGATTCTGGTCGGGTTCTGATCAGGTTCTGGTAGGGTTCTAATCAGGTTCTGATCAGGTTCTGATCAGGTTCTGGTAGGGTTCTAATCAGGTTCTGATCAGGTTCTAATCAGGTTCTGGTCAGGTTCTAATCAGGTTCCGGTCAGGTTTTGGTCGGGTTCTGAGGTCCACTTCAGTCTGGTTTCCAGTGTCATCCTGCAGCTGAAGGCAGGAATCTGAAATGAGAGATTTTTACATTTTGTCACAAAACATTGTACAATAATTAAACAATAAAATCGTTACATAATCAGTTCAAGAAAACTAAAGGAACATTAAATATTGACATGAGCAGAAGAGAAAACCGTTTTATCCCCTGCTGTCACTGGAAACCAGTCAGAATGATGCCGATTGAAAGTTTCCTCAGTCGGGATCAGAGTAAATCGTTGTGATTCTGCAGCTTTAAACTGTTTATGATTATTTTATTCATGAAATTATTCTAGACTTTCATTTATTAAAAGTTGATCTTCTTTGTGTTTCCAGTAAAGAACCAGTGAATGGATGACGTGGCGCCAGCGGTGGAAAGTAACTAGTTACAAAAGTAACTAGTTACTTTTACTCGAGTATTAAGTGGTGACGCAGCATCTCTTCACCTGTTGCAGGTTTTGTCCTTCAGTTTCTGTCAGAGTGAGACCTCCTGTTTCTGCAGCAGCTTTGTTTCTCTCGTGTCCACTCAGGCTGCGTGGAAAAAACTCCAGAAATCACCAGCATTAAATGTAGCTTCATAAGTTTTATATTCAAAATGTTTGTTTTGCTGAAAACTTGACATTTTGTACATAAGTTGTTTTTTATAAAACTTCACAGTTTTATATTTAAGTTTAAGGTTTTTAAACATTTTTAACGTCATTTTCAAACATTAAAGTTATGATGAATTTTTAACATCACATTTTTATCAAATAGTTTCACTTGAGTGGCAGAAATATTAATGCTGGAGGATCCAAGCAGAACCGGGCAGAACCAACCCGGACTTCCAGAACCGGGCAGAACCACGGGCTGATCTCACTGGCTGTGGTTTACTGACACTTTGTCCTTCCACTGAACTTTCCACTCATACAGTTGAACAGCTTGTTTCAAGCTGTTTGGATGTTAAATATGTGAAATAAATTCATTTGAAAACATTTTAATTGTTCTATAAACGCTGCAAAGACAATTTGGCCGATCGCATTTTTAATATTACTTTATGAGTTTATTTATCCAGAACCTTCCAGGTTTCTACAGGATATTCCAGGTTCCTCCAGGTTATTCCAGGTTTCCTCCATGTTATTCCAGATTTCTCCAGGTTCCTACAGGTTATTCCAGGTTTCCTCCAGGTTATTCCAGGTTCTTCCAGGTTATTTCAGGTTCCTCCAGGTTTCTCCAGGTTATTCCAGGTTATTCCAGGCTCCACCGCCCCTCCCCCACAGACAGCAGAGTGTGTCCAGTGATCACTCCGCCTGCTCGCGCCCTCATTGGCTGCGTGGATGTTTTCACGTGGATCCTGCGTGGGTCCTTGAAGAGGCAGAAAGTGCAGCGGCTCCTGGTTGCTGCGTGACAGCAGAGCGCAGCGGGTTTGCAGGCGGTGGGACGGAACCGCGACCCGGCAGGCGTTTCTCCGAACCTGCTGCAGGTAAAGCTCCGCAGCGACCTGCGCGTTTGTGAGCAGAACCAGAACCAGAACCAGAACCGATTGAAGGTTTTCATGGGAAACAACCAACTGACGGAACCGTTAATCTGCTGCCGTTTGAACGGATTGAACTGAAACTGCGGTTTGCTGCAGAAATCCGGTTAATGTCGGGTCCAAAGGGAGCTGGTTCCGAAGACGCTCCAGAGTCAGAAAGTGGGTCAAACGGCGGCAGCGACCGGGAGGTTGTTCTGGACCGAGCGGGCCGGACCGGTTCTGGACGGGAAAAGTTTGAGCTGCGGTTCGATGGAGGAGTTCTGGACCTCCGACCCGGATCCCTGGAAGCTCAGCGGGATTCCTGATGATGGGTCAGAACCACGCAGAGGAAGATGTTCCGCTCGGTCCGGACTCCGACCCGGTGGGTTCGGGTTCTGCTTTTAAAGGTCCGACTCGTTGTTCGGTTCTGAATCAGACAAAAGAACGATCCGGTTCAGGCTTCTGGTTCGGTTCAGATTCACATGTAACGTTTTGGCTTCCTGTAGAAATCTTGTTCAGTTTTGATTCTAAAAAGTGAAAGTTGTAGTTATGAGAAAGAAATGGATCCAGTTCTGACCCAGTTCTGATCCAGTTCCGATCCAGTTTGGATCCAGTTCTGACCCAGTTCTGATCCAGTTTGGACCCAGTTCTGATCCAGTTCTGACCCAGTTCTGATCCAGTTCTGACCCAGTTCTGATCCAGTTCTGACCCAGTTGGGATCCAGTTCTGATCCAGTTCTGACCCAGTTCTGATCCAGTTTGGATCCAGTTCTGATCCAGTTCTGACCCAGTTCTGATCCAGTTCCGATCCAGTTTGGATCCAGTTCTGATCCAGTTGG